AGGATTTCCTCAAAAATTTTCCGTCAACAGTAAGATCCTCTCGCTGGATCACCTCAACTCCAACTACCCCCCCCCCACTAGCTAAGATGGCCTTAAAGACAGGCGCTGTAGGGCCCATCTCTTTTTGTGAGGTGGTTGTATGGTCCCAGGAAGTCCAATACCCTTATTTAGGGAACATAGCTTCACTCATATTAGGGATCCCTGCTAGGCGTTCAGGTATATTCCCGAGTTAAGGGGTATTGGACATCCTGGGGTGTTCCCCGCTAGTTTTCGCAATGGCCTGAAGTATGGGGAGGCCTCTGACCAGGATACTTCGCGCATAATAGAGCTTAGACCTGTGTGTACAATCTAATGTTAAAATCATGGGCTCCTAGTATGACCCTAACCCTGGGACCATTTTTTCCTACTATATAGCCTGTTTGTACACTTAAGGGTCTCTAGGATCTCCCTAAAAAGGCTGAGGGCCCATACTAGGGTTTACGAGGGCTAACATCAAAACTTCGGGCGGTCAGGGCATCTGGCATAGCTGCCAGGGCAACACTTGTTGGCGTCTAGTCTTGCTGCTGCTTAAGGGGGAGTGGAGGAGTAAATATAGGTATAGTATTGTAGGGGATTATATCGGGACGGTTATTTGAATCCACTTACCAACTCCCCCTTGAGCACCAGCAAGTGTTCTGAATACCATGAAGATGCTGTGGCTAAGAGTACTTATGATCTTGTGTACCTGGGCGCTTTCTCACAAATTTGGTCCCCTTAGTAGACGCTTGAAAACTGCGACAATGCTTGTCATTTGGAGACCGCGCAAATGGACCCCGACTTACGCTATGCTTCAACCCTAAACCCTAACCCTAAACCCTAAACCCTAAACCCTAACCAACCAAAACCCTAAACCCTAAACCCTAACCAACCCTAACCAAGCCTGACCAAGCCTAACCAACCCGAACCCTAAACCCTAGACCCTAACCAACCCTAACCCTAAACCCTAACCAACCCTAATCCTAAACCCTTAGCTCACCAGGCCGACCAGAAGCAAAGCGGCGGTGGCTTTTGGCAAGGTGTGCTCGCGCCTCGCAGAGCTTTGCTTCCAAGATGATGTTAGGGTTTAGGGTTTAGGGCGGCCTGCCCATAAGTGCATGGATGTCTCATGTCATAGTGTTTTTGGTGCTGGAGCACCAGCACTAATTACAACTACATATACATAGCATTCACCAAATGAAGTCGGGCACTGCAAAACATGCGTTCCATCTTGTTGTACACGGATGTTTCATGTTTGCTGACCTGATCCTGTAACAGAACCCTATATACCCGCACACACCCCTTCATGACCCACATAATCTTATATGACTCGACATAACCCTATACACCCAAATATGTAGTGTACCGTGCGCCGGCCGGAGTCTTCCGCTTCACCAGGTTCGCATGCAAAAGGCCCTTGCTTGCAAAACATATCCTGTGGAGTCTAGTGGGATCATGAAAGAAACCCCGAGGTGATCCTTGGTATCTGCTAGTTTCCATAAATACGCTGACTCTAACATAGACCCCAAATTATTAGAATAGCCCTCATCGCTGGGACCCCCAAAAAGATGCCCCTAGTGTTTGGAAACCTCACTGGAGTATCATTTCCTTGCCCCAAAGATCCTCGCCAATCTTTTAACTAGTCGCTGGGCCTTGGAACTCCAAGCCATAGTCTTCAGCAGCACCATGACCTAGGAAAGGGAAATATAGGGGGAATAAAGGGTTATATAACCAAAGCATTCGCGGCCCCGTCTCCTTCACTCAGCGACACCATAATTTCCGAGAACGTTCTACTGCGTTACCAGCTGCAGTTTCCCTAGGGATCCAAGTACGCAAATAATACCTACGTTGACCAAGTCTGTAAATGTTGGCCCCTAAACCCTAAGCCTTAAACCCTCCTAGGGCTGGACGGGACAGTCATTGCCGTGCCTGCACTGCTGTGCGATGCGCATGTCTCAACCCTAGGGCTTTGCCGAAATTATCATAAACCCTAAACCTTAAACCCTAGACGCTAAACCCTAAACCCTAGACCGAGTGCCAAGTCTCCAAGGCGAGGCGGCCTAAAGCATGTTGGGAACGCCATCAACCACGCTGGGAAGCTGAACCAGGCGCTTCACCTGAGATAAAGTTCAAGAACCCTAGCAGTTTATAGTTTAGGGTTTGGGGTTTAAGGTCCCTAAGGGTGCAAGGACCTAAATAATAGGGGATTCTCCCAAGCTTAGGGGTACCCTTTTTTGAGGGGGTCCTAGAATAAGGATAGTATTTGGGGTCTATATTGGGGTCCCCCTATTTAGGAAAACTACCAAACCTGTGTGCCTAGGCCTAAAGGTTCCCTGCCAGGTCCTCCAAACCCAAAAACCCTAAGTATCCTTCTTCGGAGGAGGTATTTCACCTACCCGTAGCAGACCCTCTCCATGTAAAGCCTCAGACTCTACGTCCTGCAGCCTTTAAGTCGTAAGCTCTGGCTCCTTAAAGCCCTCAAGTTACAATCAGGTTCTTCCTGATGTGTTCCCATCACATCAAAGTCTTTGGCAGGTCGACCATCCCTTGAGTGTTGGAGGCCTCGCCCAGGCTTGGGGCTGATTTCTGCCCATGCGGTCGTCATGCAGCAACAGTATTTGCTTCTCACCACCACCACGGCCGCCACCACCATCGCCTGCCACCCGCCCGCCCCCGTCACCGTTAGACTGGAGCGTGAGCATGATGACGTGAGACAACCAATGCCAGAACCGTCAACACCATTACGCATACCGCCACACTACCATGTGTATCCGAAGTACCTGCAAGATACTCAAAAAGGAGCCCTGACCTTGCTGCTTTAAGAAATCAACGCAGGCCCGGCAGCTGAAGCAGCACATCGCGGCCCTGGGACCCAATGCCCAGGCTGTTTGCATATATGCGAGCCCTGCTGTTCAGTCTTCACCGATTTTGCTCGGGTTCTGCAAGCTTTTCGGCGTTTTTTTGGCACAGGTTTTGTCGATTTGGTATCGGCTTAGCTCTACGCACCTCCAAGATTCTGCACCTTTGTGCAAAACGCCATAGGTTTTAACAAGTGCGGCTCGCAGGGCTCGGGCCCAATATTTGTTATATATAGGTATACATGTATATACATATGTATATATACATGTACGTGTGTGCGTATCCCAATGTCCCTACTTGGAGGTCCATTGTACTTATAACCTACTTAGTAACTATAGTTATAACCCAAATAT